CGATGATAGTGAAATGATATATTAATAGCGCTTTTTGAATTTTATTGAATTTCCAAAAATGAATGATTATGAGAAATCATAAAGATGCCAATGAAAAATCCAGCATCTCTTTTCAAATAAACGAAGTAAATCAGCGGCGATTTTTAACATGTTATTTCAAAATATAGATTACCAATAAAATCAATATTTCTTTTTCCAGTTCTCTTGCTCAGCTAAATGAAGTAATTAAACAAATGCGTCAAAAGTATTCCGCTCGCGGATGTTTTCAGTTCAGAATTGCCGCCGGATCGGCTTTATTCTGATCGTGTCCAATCGTGTCCAGGAAAAAAGCGCGATAAAGCATTAGTATGGGATTGGGTAAAAGGAGAAAATGAAGAGGGGACGGGGCGATGGTGTAAGTGCGCCGGGACGCGGCTCCGTTCGCCGCCACCTCTCCGCGTTATCGGGAGAACTGAACAGAAAAATCAAAGGAAGGGGCGATTACATCGGATTCGCGTTACCGGGCGTAACAGTACGGCTGTAATCTCATCTAGGCACTCAGCTCGTAGCGACGGTTTTTATCCTATTACGTCACATGAATAAACTAAAGACTGCGGAGCCCGCGATGTGGCCCGGGGAGAACGCATCGCGCCGTCGGGGAGGGACTCGCTCGCTCCGTCGTTCGATATGGTTTGATTTCAACCTCTCGAAGAAGTCTGCCGAAGAATCGGAAAAGCGAAGGACAAGAGAGACGCGGGAGTGCGGCTGTGTTATGCGGAGGTATGGGTGAAGAAGAACGCGGCTCAGCTGTGATTGATTCTCTTTAGGTATTTGCTACTTTCGCGAGCTTTATGATTGCCGTAAAACGGGGTGAATAGGATCGATGGGGTGACTTGGAATCAAAGCTTCCTTGCTCCAAGTTTTTCTTTCTCTCTTTTGATTAGTATTGTGCGGAAGCAGTTAGTTATCGAACGTTCAGAAGATCAATTGCGTAATTAAATTGCCATTAATGATGTACGTTTATTCCTTTTTTTTTGTTTATTTAAATTACATAATTCGGTAAATTGTAAGGAAGTCAATTAAATACTGTAAAAAAAGCAATAAAATTTTGAGTGACTTCTGATTTTTTAAATTAAACATAAAAATTCATCCATTTTGTTACTGAATATTTAAAAATTTTGCGACTTCTCTCTATAAAAGCCGCCGCACATAGAGTTAATGCTAAAAGTTACAAAGTTACGGCATATAACACTCGATCAAAGAATTTTTATAATTGGAAGGAAAACTAACGAATAATACAAAAGTAAATTTAATTTTGAGTTCGAAATTGTAGTTGCAGAGCATCTACTACTGAAAACACGGAGCTATATACATATAAGTTTGATTGCCTCCAAGATTGCGATGACTATTCGGTATTAAAAACGCGACGAATGTCTTTCATGTCTTGATCCTGTTAAATTCATGAGGACTAACAACTTAAAGTAAAGTTAGTGGCATATTCACAACTAAGTAAACTCGCCGTGGGGGGTTGTAAGACATTAAAATAATCGATATCCGCTCAGATCCAAGAGCCTTTACCCGGTTTAATTCTTCGTCGTTGCAATATCAAATTTCTATATTTCTTCCAAAAATTCTTATAAGCAAATCTGTTCTCCCCCACACACGCGTGTGCTCAACTTTTTTTCACCGATCAACTGTGCGAAATTTTTTTGAACATTACAACTGTCATGCGTAATGATTCGCTAATGTTTTGTTCGACCTTGATAGAAGAAACAGCGCTCGATAGCAACATATATACTCCAAATGCAGCGCTTCGCCGAACGGCGGAATATGATTTAAATGAAACCTTGAGACGTATAATTTTAACTGCATCGCAAATCGAAAGTTATTTTTATTGAGCTTCTCTCGCTGGACAAATTCTATTGCTACGGATATTTCCCTCGACCGATTTCACTTTTGCAACTCTGAGTGAAGCGCGTTTCTACGACAAATCGGTAATGTGATTTAGCGCGATCAGATCGTTGCAATTGATTGTTATATTCATCGTATCCGGTACGAATAATAGCTTAAATTCAATTATGATATTCAATTCCTCGATCAATCCGATTCGAGATTAAACTTATCAGCAAAGAATTGACATTGTTTTTCTATTAAGGTATTTATACTAAAAAACTTTGTATTAGAAATCAAAACTGCACAATCATGGATAGATTTATCTTAAATTCGCAAGCTGGGAGATTAGCTTATAATGATGCTAGTCTTCCTTCTGCATTACTCTTGTTTTTTTTTAATTCATAAGTGAATAAGTGATCTCTTTGCATTCAATGGAATCAGATGCATTTTCTTTAATTGTATTTATTTTTAAAAACTTGTTTTGATCGATTTGCGCGTTTATCAGTACATTATCACATTGTCTTTTAAACGGTGAATATCTCAAAGTACATAAATTCGATTAAATAAAATGTATGTTTTATTTAAGCTTTCCTATGAAAAAGAGAAATCCAATTTCATTAATTTGAAATGTCTATTTGTGATTCTCCAATTGAATTTATTCAAACCCCAACGATTTTTAAATATTCTATTCAAAATGGCGGTTTTCCGAAGCGAACAAAATTGTTGGACTAACCATTGTCTCAAATGGACAAACACGTACTAGTAATTTTTGACTAGTTGGAATTTTTTTATAAAAATGCTTTGTTCTTTTTTTCACCAATCTTTCATGCCACAAATGAAATATTCGCGTTTATTTATCTCAAATTGTGCAGTAGATGTATTTGTTTATCGTCTATAAATGTTAGTCATTAAATTATTTTAAGTTATCATAGATTTTTAGATGAAATAGAATGCACATATCAGAAATGTGCAGACAGTTAGTAAAAACTATTTGTTTTGCTAATAAAACGTATGTATTTTCTACAACATGTGTATTGTTTTGTGACTTTTGAAATCAATTCTGCACAATGTTCATTGATAAAGTACGCAAAAAGAATTAATCAAATAAAAAATTTATTTTTTTATTAATCTGCATAATATTACTTGAATTAATTACTTTTATATTGAATCACTTTTTAAAATGAAGTAATTAAAATAAAAATTTCAGAAAACTGATTGCATTAACAGCCTCTTACACGGTAAATATATAAAACTACAGTAAACTATTAAAAAATAATAGTAATTTTAAAATACTGTTTCACTTTCTCTTCTTATGTCTATTTTGTGAGACATATTTCAACGTAATTATTTCTCGAATCTTGAACATTTACGAAACTTACTAATGAAATATAACTTATCATTCATACTTATATATTTTTTATAATATTGTATGATTGCATAATAATTCTTGTAATTAAAAAAATATACATATACGAGTTATGAGACGGAATTTTTTGCAAAATTGGCTTCGTTATTTCTAAAAAGATTTAAATATCATATAAAATAGACAAAAGTGACATATTTAAATACATATAATTTGTTAATTAAATACAATTCAGTGTCTGAAAAAACGATTCCAGACTTCTTCAAAAGCGATGATTTATAAATATAGTCGCAACTTGGAAGAAATATTGATCTTTCCATGAATAAAGAAACATGAGTTCGTACGTATTCTTGATATTCCCCACAGTTATATTTATAGAGATATTCGCACTAAAATTGAGTGTCTACATGTCGCCCGTAAGCACGAGAAATATGAGCATATACAGCATGCCGACGCGGTCAAGTGTCGGGCAATGAAAACGAATGAAGAGAAACTTCAACGGTGTTTCTCGCCACCCCACGTCGCTTCCTAAATGTTCCACAGTATCGTATCCTTGCGTTTATCCGATCCGCCATTTTAACCGTATTTTAAATGACCACAGATAAAAGTCTGCGTCTCAGCTCCGCCATAATGCACACAATTAAATGCGGTGTAAAATAATAATTATTAATATATTGAAACGTGTTGTACATAAATTATACATTAAAACAAATCTAAAATCTGTTTTGTGTTCTTATTTTACGAACGTTAAATAATATTAATTGATTTTTATCTAACGATAATAGTATAAATTTATATTTAGTAGAACTTTACTATGACTTTTCAAAATAAAATACTTAAAATACTAAAACTTAATAAGTAATTCTCTTCTTAAATATTTTTGATACAAAAAGATTGGCTCTAAATTTATTTAAAGGTATGTACATGCCTGCGTCTTTGATTTTATTAATAAGTTTAGACATTTTTCAATTCATAAAAAATAAAGTTAATTATATTTTTAATTTATCAAAGTATCAGAGCTTGATGTGATTATTAGTTCAAAAATCTAAATTTACCGAATAAACCATTTAAATCTGTCAAAGGCTAAGAATAACATTTTAGTCAACAAATTTTGTTACAAATATCCCAAACTTTTGCGTTTTCCTTCTTAAATAAAAACTTGATTCGGTTTGTCAGAAAAAGAAACATAATCGATGTGAATAGGTTATATCTAAGTCCTATCTATTCCTAAGCACATTAGAATATTCATGGAACGTTTCGCGTATAATGCATTCACTAAGAAACTTTTGCAATTACTGAAGAGAGATTGAGTCAAGAAAAATATCCAATAAATCATCTTCTAACTATTATTTTATTGTCTGTTTACATCATCTAAGATATTATAACATGACAATTGTGTCAGATGAACACGTCAATTCATGATTTTCAAAATTCAGACATTTATCACTTAAAGAATCTATTCGAAAAGATTTGACTGTTTGAAATTGCTTATATACAATGACTAATAAAAGTTTTTGGAGTAAAAAATGTGAAATATACAATAACTTTTGTACAGAAACGGAAAATGTTAATTAATTTGCGCGTCGAGTCGAGATAATGCAAACATTTTTTCGATTTGAAATAGATTGCAAATTTTTTGTAATCTGAGGAAGATGGCGAAAATTCTTGCAAAAGGATTTTTTTCCAACTGCGTAAGCGTTCGAAACTGTGGAACATCCGTAGAATATAGCCGCGAAAATGGCAGGAAATCAGTAATCTCACTCACCGTGGGGTTCGGCATACATCGCCTCGGCGGCGGCGGCATCGGATCCGGCGCGGCGCGATAAGGTGACGGCGAGTATCTCCCCGAAGGAAAGCATCCCGGGGCGGTGATCGGCGCCCCGTGGAGCCCCTTGCTCCCCATCATCTTGTCCGGTGAGTACATCATTTTGCGTGCCGCTGAGCCTTACCCCGGCTCGGGTCCGCGCCTTCGGTTTTTCGCGAATTGGCGCCCTCAGACAGAATGACACGCTAGACACCAGCAGCGACGGCTGCGCTTTTTGCTTCCAAGACGCATTCGCATCTGTGTGACCGAAGTGTCCGGGGGAGGGGAATCGAAGTGATTCAGAGTACGTTCACTGTTGTTCGCGTAGTTCACGAAATCACCGAAATCGAGTGGAGTCAAGCACGTTCAGAATCTGGAGAACGCACGTTACAATCTTTAAAGATCCTGGCAGGCACAGTGCACCACTTGATATCTCGCTGATATCTCAGGCGAGATGAGTTTATTTGCGCGGCGACGGACGCTGAAGAGACCCGCGGTCCCGCATCTTGATCGTTAGTCTGCTTTCAAACACCGCGACTGAACACTGTTCGCGCAATTCACAGTCAACGGAGCCGATGATATCCGATGATGAGGATTTCGCGTGGTAATCGCGCTCGCACCTTTCCTTCCCGCGAATTCAAATCGATCGCACGCTACCTGGACACTTCACTTTGGGTTCACCAAGCGTCCACTTGCAATTAAACGTTCCCGCCAGGGTGGACCACTGAGAGGAATCGCGATCGGGACAAGCGATCAAGTCACCAAAATTTGTGTCCCACGAGGTACTCGGGGTCAACCGGGATGACACCGGCAAGAGGGAAAGGGAACAGGCACCGGTTCGCCACTGCCATGCACAAGGGGGATACGACAAATACGCGCGGGGCAGTTACGCGGACTCTTGTCCCGAAGCTCTGCACTTTTTGGCGCTGACTGGCCGGCGAGGAGCGCTTCGCGGATGAACTCTTCCAAAGGGGGATGGCAGGAGCAGCGCTGTCCGACCGGTGGGGTGGATAGGGATGCGGCGGGGGTCGGTCGGCGATCCTGGACGTCGGTGCGGCGCGCAGCGTGGCGTTCGCCCCACGTCGCGGAGAGAGGGTTTACCTCGCGCATACGAGGGGGTGAGTCGGCGGCAGCTAGCGGAACGGAGAACCTCGCCGAACGGGGGCGGAGCTACGCGCGGTTACGCTTGCGCCCCTAATCTCATGCACGTCGGCCATCTTTGCCCTTGCTTTCAGGCCTCGCATGGGTGTCGCTAACCGCGACCACCCGTTTGTCCATCCTTCCCTCCGTGTGCGTCTGCGTGTGTGTCGGTAAATGTAGGTGTGTATATGCGCGCGTGTGTATGTGTACGACATCCCTTCACCCTTCTACGTCTACGCTTCGCCCGCCGCCACTGCCGCCGCCGCCGCTCGATCCTCTTTACACCCTCTCTCTATATTTCTAGTTGAAGCGAGTCTATCCTTCTCTCTCTCTCTCTCTCTCTCTCCCTCCCTCTCTCTCTTTCACCCCCGGTTTCCCTGTTTTCCCTACCCGTACATCTCTGTAACCTCTTCCGGCGCGTCTTTCTCCTCCATAGCGAATATCAGCTATTTTACTCGTCCCTCCGGCGCGCGCGCTCGCGCGAGCTCGGTCGTACGCAAATGTCATAAGCTACGTTATCGTTACATCTCAGCGATGTATAAATACCTGCACGTGCTCACGCTCATTGTAATCTTTATCGTAATAAATCCCTTTCCACTTCCTTCGTCCGCGTCTCTTTCGCGTGTACGTACGCGCGCTCTTCTCGGCGCCCGTCGCGCTCAATCTATTTCTCCGCTACTCGCTACACGCCTTTCCGCGTCGGAAAGTCGTCGTTCGGAGGCAAACTTCATCTCCGTAAGTCTCCGCCGTCGCGCGCGTCGGCACGGAAACGGATAATGCGTTTTTTTTTTATCCACACCTCGTATGGAGTATTACACTTCCGGGTTTGCTCTGGTGCAAAACGCGCTGTCACGGCACTCTCGCCGTTGATGTATTAGCGACATCAGATCCGATCTTACGCAGCCACTTTATACTTTTGTTCCTAAAGAGACACGTTTAAATCTGACGTCACTGTCATCCGAGATGAGCGATAGGTGCGACTCGGTGTAGCAATCGTAAAAATTGCACGTTTGAAATCTGTTTTAATCCGGAATTTCGACGAAATAATTGAATTTCATTAAGCCGTATTATTAAAATATTTATATTGTTATCAAAAATATTAGTTGAAATATTCTTTATATCATGGCAAACGCAGCGTACGCTCATTTCCCATATTAAATGTTTATGAGCGTACCGATTGCTAAAATTGCACATATAAAATCCGTTTTAAATGTTTCGCGATGGAATTTCGAAATAACTAAACTTAATTAGTCCGTATTACAGCATATTGCTGCAACATTTATATTGTCGGTAAATTAATCAGAATATTCTTAACGTCGCAGCAAGTGTAACGGCACATGCCCAGTTTCTCACATTAAATGCTTATCTGCCCATGTAATTCTCCGTCCATAATAATATTGGATACAAGTTTTATTTGCGATATATAAATTTTAAAATCAGGCAGTCACATAGGACGCTAACATGTAAATATATGAATTAATGTTTTTCGAACTTCATTTAAATGAAATCCATTTATTTTATTTCATACTTTATTCGATTAGTCCAATATTAATTTTAGCAAATGGAAATTACGCACGCTTAATAAATTTCCATCTAATGTTATAAAAATGTAAGATAGCTGATAGAAATTTTTATTTCATGCCATGCTCATAATGACAATATACACGACATTAAAGGTACGCGCAACGACGTGCGTAGTATAAATTGTGTTGAAAAAATAGCTATCCTACATTGTAATTATACATCCCGTTTAATTCGTTTCGTTTCTTTAAAATACTCAAGTCACGCAAAAGTATTGCTCTATCATTAAAACAGCCTTGAAGCATATGTTGCAGTCAAAACTGTAATTAAAGCGACGAAAGGGTGCAGTATGTAGGAACGCCTCTCGTTTTGTATTGTATTTCTTGGTAATATTGAGTTTAACAGTTGAACATATCCTCTTTTAAGCACATGGAGGGCAATAACGCAAATATCGATTTCTCTGCAAAACAAAATGTATACCTACAGGATATACTTGATTAATTATATCTTTTCTATGATAAAGTCAATCTGTCGCTATCACTTTAGGTAATCCAAGTTTTTCGACATTCATCTCGATATTAATGCGATGACTTTGTCTAACGACCGCGCACGCGGAAATTTGACCGATCAAATCTTCGCAGTAAGTGCAGACTTGTGTGAGCTGTTTTATAGTAAATTTTTAACGTACCGTGGACCCTTCGTATAGCCCGGGACCCCTCTGTTAGTCCCGCAAGGCTTCGGGATTTCGGTCGATCGAATAAACGAATAAAGCCGTTTCGTGCTATATATGATCCTCAGATGCCAACGAAACTGACCCGTAACAAAGATTGACTCCTTTGCTTTTATTATATATTGTACATTGTCCTACAGCGTTTATTCAACATTTTTAATTGTTGCAAGTGCGATTGTAACACACTGCTGCAAATTGTTTTTAACTAACGATTTTCACTAACAACATCAAAATTTCAATCTATCCGCGCTCCGCAAACCATTAAGCGCGCTGTAAACAATTTACTCCATCGGTGTGTTTTAATAAATAATATTGGTTATTTATCCTTTGCACCCCGTGATTAATCGTCTCTTATATCAGCGTCGCGAGACGAAAGCGGACGAATAAAAACAGCGGCGCGCATCGTAGCGCGTCACGAGGATGCATCGAAACGAGCTTCGGTATAGCAAAAAAAAAAAAAAAAAATGAAAAAATAGGAAGGATAGAACAGGGCGGTAAGAGATGGAACGGACGTTGGCACACGAAGGATGCGGATGAGAGAGAGAATCGTGTAGAAGAGAGGTCGAGGGGGATAGGTAGGTAGGGCGGAGGGACACTGCGAGTTTGGCGGCAGTCGTTTTCCGAGGGATGTTGGGCGGAAGGTTCCCGCGGGGCCTGTGTTATCGCCTCGGCAGGATGACCAGCCCGCGGTATCAAATATTAAACCTACTTGCACCGGCAGCCTATCCTCGACAAGATATCCAAACCTTCCCCTGCGTCCCCCGCGCGAACCCCCGCGACCAACCGGCCGCCCTAACCGACCTACCACGTATACCACATTGCCGCGCACCGCACACCGGCGGCGGCTACCATCAAAACCTACGCCTAGCACTACATCTCTATCTCTCTCCGCTTGTGCCGCCGTGCTTACGTTGTTTGTTCGTATAACGTCGGATATTCGTGGCGAGAGCCGCACAATTCGCCGCCGCGCGGCCATTTCGTACCGCGCCAGCCCGGGAAAAATTGTTTTCTGACGATGTTACGAAGGCAGAGCGAGAGGAGGAGAGCTCCGAATGCTTGCAGGCTTATCGATACGCTGGCTGAATTTAATATCCGCAAAGAATTGATTTATTTATTTTTACAAAAAGTCAATTAAAGAACACAGATGTAAATCTGTGACAATTATCTCAAGTTAGAATTGATAAGCCAATGTTTTTGGTTCGATTTCTATCCTTTCCAAGACACTATTAAAGTAGAATTGAAAACAAAATTTGTGGAAGATCCTTATATATACGTTGATCGAGCAAGCAGCAAATTAATTTATATGAGAGAGTGAAATGTAACTTATTTATTTTACGCTAGTCTTGTAGATTACAAGGCACACGATGATACTTTTTACACGTGACAAAATGGTTGTAGAAAGTATTATAAAAAAATAATTGCAAAAAGAATGTGTTACTATTTTAGCTATTCATAAAAATACAGAAATGGTACACTCCATACAACGCCATATCCGCTTAATAGTTAACATATATAGTTTCACGCATGTCGTTATATATTTTGACCACGACGTAATACTAGCTTTATTAATATTTCATATGTGTAATTACGTTTTATACCGAGGGTTAAAGTGAACTTTTTAATAACTGCGTTTTTTTATCAGAATACGACATGTAATCAGTTCAACTGCATGGAGGTGTTATAAAATCTAAGAGATTTCGAATTAGAGAAATATGTCAATGAGTTGTGACAAGTTTTTGTTTTAAGAAACTTAGCCATACCCATGTAGGAATTGCCGATAGCATTCCTGTAGTACTACTGGACCAATAAAAGCCCAACCATGATAGCCGATATTCGATATTGACAATTGGCCCAGTCTTGTCCCAGTCTTGTATTTATAAATGGCCCAATATTAGCCTGCTTGTTTCACTAGTACTCGGCATCCATATTGGGCCAATATTGACAAGAAGACAGGACCAACATTGGAACTGTAATTTTACCAAGCATCGTTTTTGCACTGGTAAAACAACAGACCCATACTGGCACTACTGATGGACCAATCTGTAAGTTACAGTTTTAATAGGTTCTGTTCAATGTTTCTTATTATATATGTGTATGTTTAGCATATAAAAAGTTATTTTTTATTTGATTAGTTATACTAGACTATACTTTAGTTATACTATTATTAGATTTTAAAAAACAAATTTTATTTTTTTTTCTGTGCGCAAGAATATTACTCATATTGTTATTTTTTCTTGTTTTTATTTAGTCAATCGATGAAATTAAAAATTATAATCTTATTTTTTGTTCGAAAAAATATCCGACTGATTTAAGTTGAAAAATTTGATGGCATTATAATTTTTTCGTTAATAAAATTAATTCTGACAATTTAAGAGCATTGTTAATTCTTTCTACTAACAATAAGTATCACCGTACCAAGCTTAAATGCCAACTTCGGTCTGTTTTGATTTAAGAATATTCGGCCAGTATTGGCTAAGATTGTCCCGCCAGTATCAAACTGCAACATTGTGCC